CGGTAGGTCGATGACATCTTCTACCTCCTCCTCTTGGTGCATAGCTCCGGGCAACGATTGAACACCACCGTGGAGGTCTCCCAATCGATGCTAGGGTTGTGGAAGCATAGCCATTCATGCCCAATGAAGAGTGGTGAGGAGCCTAACTTGGCTACAGCAAGAGCGATCTGCTCTCGATGATCTCCGATGGTTATAGCGATGTCGACGAACTCCGTTATGCTGCCGTTGGCGTTGGCGCTACCGTCTGCATTGTAGACCGGAATAGGCAGAGCCGTTTTGCGCGTACGAATACCGTTTTGTCGGATGAAGTCCTCATCAATACAAGAGCCAGTACAGCCGCTGTCGAGTAAGGCGTTAACCGGGATTTGACGACGCGGGAATTCCATGGTGTGGAGGACGGTAGGCAAGGTGGTCTGCTGGCGTTGACCAGAGGAACGAACGTAATGCATGGGCGAACGTAGTTCGCAGAGCGCTTGCACAACAGTGTCATCGTCCATACCATTGAGTGTGGCCAGCATCTCATGTGTTGCCTCGTGATGGCGCCGGTTATGCGTCCAGTTGCGCAGGATAGCGATTGCAGACTCTGGCTTGTCCTCTTGAAGACGGCGAGCGGCCCATAGAGCGGAGCGTGGTGCGGCGTAGCGATTGCCTCCCCTCCGAGTATGAGGGAGGTCTTGATCCGTTGACTCGGACACGGGTTGGGGTTCACACGGGATAAATTCGGCAATGTCATCATTATTATTATTATGCGCAGGTGTGAATAAAGCGGCGGCCGGAGTAACGTCCGGCTCTGATACAGGAGGAGCAGGGGTAACGCCCTGCGATCTGAGTAATGGAGACGAGGTAGATGCGCGCGAGATGAATGAGTCGAATAGTCCGTGGAACCGAGATGGNGACGCCTGGGCCGGAGGAGCAGCCGGTGCTCCTACCCTGCTCTGCAGCGAGCGTGCTAACTCCGCTTGGTCCGCTGGAGATAGCGAGGCTGCGAAGTCGTCCACGTTGGCGAAGGTCGTGGCACGTGCCCGATAACCAGCGGGAAAGGGATTCATGCGATCCCGGCCGTACTTCTGCCGAATAGTCTCCGTCGGCGTAGTACAGT